AACTGAAGGACAGAATAAAAAAAAATTAGTCCATAGGAGATTTACATTTACTCAAACAGATATATCTAAGATAATCTCGGCTGGAAATAAATTTTAAGTATATCTATTGCATCTGAATTCAATGCATCTCGTTCCTATCAATAAAAGCATTACATATCACAGAAGAGAACAAAAATTTGGCAGACGAGAAAGAATTTTAGCTGACATACGTTTCTATTAATGAGATACGGAATCTTTAATGCAACAGTAATACCAAATATTTAAATATACTTTCAAATTGAGTGAAAAAAAGAAAGTATTAAAGCCGCCCAATCAAGATGTACCAAAGAGAAAAGGCCAACAGTAAATAAAATTATTTCTGTTGGAGGATTTCTTGGAATGTATATGATATTGGTTTTCATTTATTTAGACTTTTATTAATAATATATATATGTGTGTCAGTGGGGGGGAGTTCAAAAATTATTTTTTTTTGAGTTACCCAACCCTAATTATCTCTTTGAGATGAGTTGGCTCCCTCCGGTATCCCCACGAGCTTCGACTCTTTGAGTCGGCTATGGGACTAATCCGGAGTGCGGGGGAACAGTGATGGCTAAAAGTTCAGCCACCTCCCCAAGAATGCATTCAGCGGGAATCGAAATACCGATATTAAATTTTGTTGAATTTTATTAATTTGATTATAGTTTATTAAAAATTAATAATTAATTTATTAATTCTTAATAAATTATAATTGTTATATTAACAAGAATTAATAATTGAAATTTGATATCAATTTTTTTTTAATTTAACACCGACATTAAATTATCATGTCTTTCTCTCATATATATATATATATACATATATATATTGTTATAATGTTATATGTGGATAGTAGCTTAAGTTTTTATTTCACAAGTACGATGATATATAAATATGAGTTCAGTGTTTCGTTTTATGAGGTATTAATTTGTTATTTAAATCGTTTAATTTGATTTCATAAAATTAGGCCGGGTCTCTATTTTCTCATGCTGTAAGATAATTCTTTTTCTTATTATAAAACACAAGATGTGATGCGTCTCACCTCTCATTAAAAAACAAATAAAAAAAGTTGTTGCACACATTTCGATGTATCACTAGTAGGAGAAAGAATTTTCCTATAACATAAGAATTTTTTCCCCTTTTAAAAAATATAAAATATTTGAATTTGTTTTAAATTAGATATGACTATTGACTATCCTTTCAAAGTGTGCGTGCGTGCTTCATAGAGTGTATGTATTATTTAGCGAAGATTATTTTGTTAGAAAATCTTAGTAATATTTAGGGGTGTATAACATAACTAAAAAACTAAACCGAACCGAATCGCTATTAAAATAACTGATTTTTAAAAATTAGTTCAAGAACTGAACCGGTTTTTAAAGAACCAGTTCACCGAACCAGCTTTTAGAACCAGTTTAAGAACCGAATCGAACCGTTTTCAAATCGTACCAAATTAATTTTTATAACTTTATTTTTTAAATTTTAAAATTTTTTTCTTTTCAAAAGAGGGTTCCAAACCGAACCGCATCGTTTCCAACCGAACCACTTTTGAACCGAACCGAACCACTTTTGAACCAAACCATTTAAACCAATTCAGTTCGATTTTTCAAAAAATCCGGTTCGGTTCTACCCATGCACATCTCTAGTCAGTGGCGGACCCACTTGCGGGTGCGGTCATAAAATTTTGAATTTCAGTTTTTCTTTTCTTTTCTTGGTTGTAAGTTCTTATTTGTCTCTTGGTTTAATATATATATTAAGAGTAAATACCATTTTAAGTCTCTAGCAAAAAATATGGTCCCCATTTTAGTTCCTTACAAAAACAATTAGTCTCGAGGTCCCTAAAAAATTTAAAGTGGATAAATTCAGTTAAAATTGTGGTCCCTCACAAATTCAAAAAAGACCTACATTAGTCCTTCAAAAAGACCAAAATGGGTCCACTTTAAATTTCATAGGGATCAGATGACTACTTTTTTTATAATGGACTAAAGTGGAGACCGAATTTTTTGTTAGGGACCAAAAATGATATTTATTGTTATATTAGTTAGCAACGTAGCAACGTACGGAGATGATTAGAACAACGTAGCAACGCAAATTGATTAGAGAGAAAACTTATTCTTTCTCCCCTGTCACGTACCCATTCCCATGCTCTCTTCATCCTTTGTTTCCTTTTTCATTTTTATAAAAAGAGAGGATTGATTGCAGGTCTGACATTCTCAAATAAGTTAATATCTAGAGACGAGGCATTCATTGTGATTTTGCTTGCCTTCTGTACAGGTAGTGTTAACTTTTTTATTTATCACTATAAAATAGAATGATAATATATGAATCCACTGGAGTATATTCTCATATTTGTTTTGGAGGATTGATAAGATTTAGGGAAAGAAATAATTGGTCAAACTATTGCATGCAGCTTGTTATAGAAACAACTAGATTGTGAGCGAGTTTAAGCGTTGATTTAGACTTTCTTTACAAAAAAAACTCCGGGGGCGCTGCTCTCAAACCTCCGCCACTAAATATGCAGACATAAAAAATATTTCCTGAGTCTGCCACTGTCTCTAGTAATACCCTTCTAAGAAAATAATAAAAATAAAAGCCGGCAATGCAAATATTAATAGATTTTTTTTTCTTTTGTAAAATAACAAGCGCTAAGGAAATACCATTTCTGATCCCTAACAAAAAACACGGTCCCGACTTTAGTCCCTTACAAAAATAAATTAGTCAGTTAGTCCCTAACAAATTCAAGGTGGACCCATTTTAGTCCTTTTGAGGGACTAATATGGGTCTTTTTTGAATTTGTGAGGGACCACGATTTCAACTAAATGGGTTCACTTTGAATTTGTTAGGGACTAACTGACTAATTTATTTTTGTAAGGGACTAAAGTGGGGACCATGTTTTTGCTAGGGACTAAAAAGGGTATTTACTCGAAAAAATATTTCTTCGGTCACCGGTGTTAAAATTATCTTCAGTGAGCTCAAAATGACGTCATTTTGAGATTATAAGATTAAAAAATTATAAAGATAAAGACTAATATAACTCTGCAATATTTTAGAATTACAAAAACAATTTGATTTTCGGCCTAAAACGAAGTCATTTTGGACTCACTAGAGATAACTTATTTCCGTTGACCGGACAAATCCTTTACCCGTATTTATAGCATAATAAAATACAATTTCAAGAATTTTCTTTGTAAGGATTTAAAAATAACTACAATTTTTTTCTTAAATTGACACGGTAAATAAAATATCAAACTGAAATACAAATTCAGCGCCTAACTAAAACTTTTCTTATCTTTTATTAAAAAAAAAAAACTCAATTGTTATCAATAACCTTTACTCAACAAACCGATTAAAATAAATAAGGGTTCGTTTTTTATGTAATTATTGTAGATAAGTTATCTGCAGTAAGTTCAATACGACGTTGTTTTGGAGCAAAAATTATGGTATTTTTATAATTTTAATTTATTTCAAAGTTATTTTAGTCTTTATAATTATAACTTTTTAATTTTCAATCCCAAAACGATGGTATTTTGAAAATAAATACAGATAACTTATCTGCCGTAACTGCAGAAATATTTTTCTGAATAAATAAATCAAAACTTCTTCTCCAATCTATTAGCAAATTTACTTAACTTTACAATATTTAAAGTATAGCCATTCCTTTTTTGGGGGTCCGAATGATTTATTTTTTCCAATTATCCTCAAATATGCGCGTAGCCATTAAATGCGTACCTAGTACGGTTATATATTATGAGTTATAAGCTTATAATACCCACCTTATTTAACAGCAGTAGACATTAAATTCTATATCTAATAAATATCAATATTAATATATTTCTTAAGCCAATATTCATAGGGTAGCTGCGTGGATTCGATTGCCGGGTATTCCTCAAGAATTCTGTGTAGCTCCTTTCTTGAAGTTAATTGGAAATACAGTTGGCAAAGTGTTGAAAGTAGACAGAACTACTTCCATGGGGGACAGGGGCAAATTTGCTAGATTATGTGTGGACTTAGACCTTGCTAAGCCACTGAGGGGTGAATATATTTTGGAGGATGAAGTGTTTAAAGTCGAATATGAGGGCCTGTACCTTATCTGTATCAGATGTGGAAAATATGGCCATAAAACAGATAAATGCCCAGATTATGTAAAACCAGATGAGCCTACTGCTAACAAGGAATCCAATCAGCCTGAGGCGGCTAACTCTCAATCGACTCAAGGGGGTAGGCCCTTGGATGGTAGTCAAAAAAAAGAAATTCTATAGGAACCAACCTCCAATAAAGGATGAAACTAAAGGTGAAAGATCCTTTGGAGTGGATATCTCTAACAGTAAGAAGCCTCTGCCTGCTCAGTCTACGGGTATCACTATTTTGAAGAATCCAGGGTTGGAAAATGTGATTGAAGTGAAAAAGGGGTCACTCAAAGAAAATAAGAGGAACTCCATATCCTATGCCACTCCCAAGGCCTCCAACTCGAAAGCACCAGCAGGTAAAGCAAGTCCGAGTAATACTGCAACTAAAGCCTCATACAAACCGAGAAAGACAGAGAAGAAAAATGCATTTATTTTCTCCTCTGAAGCCAACCCATCCAGAAATAGTTCCAAGTCGTTAGAGCCCCCTTCATCCAGCAAGGCTACCAGCAAAGGTGACCTTAGATATGTCCCTATCTTACCCTCTGTTCCTGTGGTCAGTAGTGGCAATGATATTGATCCTGGAAACACAGAAGGCGATTTATGCTTAAAAGTATCTGCTGCAAGTATTACAAATACTAATAGCACTTTGCCAACTTGCGATTTATGTGTGGTGGATGATAAACTGTTGGATATGGATACTAATATGGCTAACAACAATCAAGGCATTGAGAGATTGGAGAGCCAAGAGAAAGAAATGGAAGATGAAATGCTTCTGGAGAATACTTTTAGTGAAGTAGCTGGTGATAATATGGTAGAGTGTGACCAGGGACTCGGGGATCCTGGTGACAATTTAGTTATCCAATGAACTGTCTTGTTTGGAATTACAGGGGTGCTGCTAAAAAGTCTTTCAAGACATCCCTCAGAAATTTCATTAAAAAGTACAAGATCAGTTTGGTTGCCATTTTGGAACCTAGGATAAGTGGTGCTATTGCCCAAAAGAAGATAAAGCAATTGGGGTTCAATAATTCTGTGATAGAAGATGCAGTGGGTTTCTCGGGAGGTATCTGGTTGTTATGGAAAGAGGAATTTTGCAATGTAACCATTTTAGAGAAATCGAGCCAAATTATTCATGTCTCATGCTCCATGAATCAGGGGTTAGATTTTTATCTTACTGTGGTTTATGCTAATCTTAGAGAGGAAGTTCGAGAGGAGCTTTGGATGGACCTAACAAGAATTAGTAGCAGTTTAGTAGGTCCCTGGGCTATGATGGGGGACTTTAATGAGATTGCCTCCGTCAAGGAGAAGAAAGGGGGAGCCCCAGTTAATCTTCTCAGGTGCCAGAAGTTCGCTTCTTTCCTTAATGATTGCAATATGTTAGATATGGGCTGTAAAGGAACTAACTTTACCTGGAGGGGGCCCAAGTGGCTTCATCTTGATAGAGTTTTCAAAAGGCTGGACCGTGTGTGCTAATGCTAATTGGAGAACAACCTTTGAAGAGGCTACAGTTAGAAGTCTTCCTCGGTTAAACTCATATCATAACCCTCTTCTGCTCTCCCTTTATCCAAAGAATCAAGACTGGAGAGAAAGACCGTTCAGGTTTCTGGCTAGCTGGCAGGATCATGTTACTTTTCCACATTTTCTCAAGTTTGTGTGGAAGCCGAATCTAAACATCAGGATCAGCTTGAGCAATCTGGTTCCTTCCCTTATATCGTGGAATAAGAGGGTTTTCAGGTGTATCCAATTGAGGAAATACTATCTTCTCAAAAAGATTCAGGATAACCAAAACAACTATGACACTGATAGGGATTACGCTCAAACTGAGTTAGATATAGCCCTCCAATGTGAACTTAATAGGGTCATGGATCACGAGGAAGCTTTATGGTTTCAAAAAGCTAGATGCAATTGGATTGCAAATGGGGATCGTAACACTACCTTTTACCATACTACTATCATTAGGAGAGCCAGAAACAGGATTAGTGAATTAAAGAATGATCAGGGTTACATGGTGAAGGAAGAAAGTGAGTTGATTTTGCTGATTCACTCTTTTTTCAAGAAGTTGTTTTCAGAGGAAGATGACTGCAGACCCTGGTTTAATACTACTCATACCTGGCATGTTTTGGAGGACTCTGAATTGAAGGTCATGCAAGATCCCATAACCGATTCTCAAATCAGAGAGGCATTTTTTTTCTATGAATGGCCTTAAATCTCCTGGGCCAGATGGGTTCCCTGCTCTCTTTTTCCAAAAGAATTGGGAATTATTGAGACTTCAAGTTACTGATTGTGTTAAACAGGTTTGGAATAGACCTGAGATGGTGAAAGAGCTAAATAAAACTCACCTTGTTCTTATTCCAAAGTTGGCTAAACCCGAAAAAATCAACCAATTCAGGCCAATTGCTCTTTGCTCTGTTATCTATAAAGGAATCAGCAAGTTAATTGTGGGAAAGCTGAAACCTTTACTAGACAAGCTAATTTCTCCCCAACAAGTTAGCTTTGTCCCTAACAGACAAATCCAAGACAATATTATCATTGCTCAGGAGATGGTCCATTCAATGAGTAGAATGAAGGGGAAGAGGGGTTTCTTTGCTATAAAGATTGATCTCGAAAAAGCTTATGATTGGATGTCCTGGAAATTTATCCATGAAGTTTTGTCTGAGGCGAACTTCCTAGTATCTCTGGTTAATCTAATCATGCAATGCATCTCCTCCTCTGAGTTGGAAATCTTTTGGAATGGCACTCAAGCTGGTAGTATCTCCCCTAGCAGAGGCTTAAGACAGGGTGATCCATTATCTCCCTATATCTTTGTCCTTTGTATGGAAAAGCTTTCCCATTTGATTACGGACTCCTTGGAGAAGAAGGAGTGGAAGCCAAAGAAAGCTGGGAAAGGTGGGCCTTCCATATCCCATCTCTTATTTGCGGATGACCTGATGTTATTTGGAGAAGCTGATTCTGACCAAATAAGGATTGTGATGAGCTGTCTAAACAAATTTGGCAGCATGTCTGGCCAAAAGGTGAGCCTTAAAAAATCTAGCATATTTTTCTCTAAAAATGTCCCTCAGGATGTTGTGAATGCTATTGTGGAGATTAGTGGTTTTGCTCATACTAAGAATCTGGGAAGATATCTTGGTTATAAAAGGAAGCATGGCCGTGTAAGCAAATTGCACCATGGAGAATTAATGGATAGGGTCAATAACATGCTCCAAGGTTGGGAGAAGCAGTGTTTGTCAATGGCAGGGAGGATTACTTTGGCCAAATCAGTTATTTCAACTATTCCTATGTTCAACATGCAAAGTAGTCTTCTTCCTATGGGAATTTGTGATGAGATTGAAAAATTACAAAGAAAATTCAGATGGGGAGATACTGATAATCAAAGAAAGTATCATGCGATTGGCTGGGATTGTCTTAAGTTGGCTAAAGATCAAGGTGGTTTAGGCATCATAGATCTCAGAAAGCAGAATGAAGCTTTTCTCCAAAAGGGTGCCTGGAACATTACTCAATTTCCTTTACAAGCATGGGTTCAAGTTCTTTTTTCTAAATACAGTAGGAAAAAGGATTTGATGAAAGAGGTGAGTTGTAAAACTTATGATTCCCACTTGTGGAAAAGTCTGTGCAGAATTTGGCCAAAAATGCTCAATAACACTGTTTGGCAGATAGGTAATGGGAGAAAGATTAAATTCTGGAAAGATGACTGGGTGGGAAACAGCAGCAATCTCATATCTATCACAGCAGCCCCTCCTACAGATGAAGACTCTGATTTGACAATTAATCATAGCAATTTTTGCTCAGAGGAGGGTTGGAACATGCAATTTCTGCTAAGTCATTTTGATCAAAACACTGTTAATCTGATCTTAGCCATTCCTTATCCAGAAGATGGGGTAGGAGAGGATATAATTGTGTGGAAATATTGGAATCCGAATAGTTCTATTGTTAAAATGGCTTATTGCAGTCAGACAGCTTCAGATTCTGCTCCTACAGACAGCTGCTGGAACCGTGTTTGGAAGTGGAAAGGAAAAGAGAGATTCAAGATACTCTTATGGAAGATGCTACATGGAAGAATGTTGACAAAAGATAGAGTTACTAAATGGAGTGGAGGGTCGAACAACTGCCATTTATGTCCAGATCAAGTGGAGGAGTGCTTACATGTGTTCAGAGACTGTTTTATGGCTAAAAAGGTTTGGCTTTTACCTATGTTTTATCCTCTTCCCCAAGGATTTTTCAATCCTATTTCGTTCAAGGAGTGGTTATGTCTTAATCTAAATATTAATTCATGCTCTGGAAAGGATTGGAGAGATGTTTTCTTTGTAGTTTGCAACTCTCTTTGGATTTGGAGGAACAAAGAGATTCATGAAGAAGGTTACAAGAGACCTGTGGACCCCTCAATTCCTTTAGCTGCCCATATTGAGGAAATCAGATGTAGTTTTGTTCACAGGTCCAGAGAGGTTCTTAGCATACCTGCTCTCATTAAACCCGAGAAGTGGACAGCACCTAATCATGGTTATTTCAAACTGAATGTGGATGGTGCTGTGAATGGGGGACAGGCTGCTTGTGGAGGTCTCATAAGGGGTAGAAATGGTGACTGGATTGATGGGTTTTCGATTTTCTTAGGTTCATGTTCCCCCTTAATGGCTGAATTATGGGCTGTATATCATGGCCTTGTATTTGCATGGAACCACAATTGGAAACAGATAACTTTGGAATCAGATTCCTCTCAAGCCTTAAGCCTACTTACCCTTAGGGGTAATGACACTCGAAAACTACCTTTAGTAGCTAAGATTCGAGTATTTCTGCAAAAGGAATGGAATGTTCAGCTAAATGGTATCTCAAGGAAGGCTAATATGTGTGTAGATTGGATTGCGAAAAAAGCTTTGGATGATCATCCCCTTGGTCTCTCCCCAATCTCTTCTCCTCGTTGTGCCCTCCTCAACCTGCTAGCTGCTGATATTCTGGATCCTGGGTTGGATACCGCTGCAAACTAGGAACCTGTGGTTTGTCCACTGGTTTTTAGTTTTTAGAGTTTTTTTTAGTTTCTTTCTGTTGCTTTGTATTTCTGTCTGTATCGTTTTCTGTCTTCTGTTGTTGGGGTGTTTTAGCCCCTGTTGAATACCAAAATATATATATATATATATATATATATATATATATATATATATATTTCTTTTTCCTTTTCTATTTTGTTTGTAAATCAAAATTTTCATCTTCAAAAAATGTATTTTCAGATATTGTTGTATGGGTAGACAAACCAATACGGTAAACCTTTGGGGTGATAAAAGAAGAAAATCAAGGCTACTTCCTCAAAGTACCTATTCCAATCGGTTTATTGTTTCGCAATTAATCCAATTCAAGGCAGGTTTAAAATTAAAGTTTTAAACTCCCAATAATAATACTGAAAAAATTCAAACACGTACTCCCATCCACCTGCTTAGCTCATATACGCCATTTTGAAACTCACTCATCAGAATCTTATTGTTGCAGCAGCAGCGGCCGCAACGTGGCCTTTCCCTTTTCAGTCATCTTTTTACAATAACTCATCAATCTTTATTCTTTAGGCAACACGAAAATTTCTTCAAATATTACCAAATTATATATATAATATAAAATTACAATAGTCGTTCATGCTCTGATAGCATTTTCCCTCCCTATGGCTATGAGTCTTCTCGCTCACTAACTTGCTTTACTTCTATTTCTTTTTTCAATATTTTTTCCATAATAATAACAAATTAATTTCTGAGAAATAATCTCTTGCCACGAAACAAAGAATCGCCGCTTCAGTGCTAAGATGGGATTGTACCGTACCACTACAATAATTCTACACTCTTTCACCAAGCACAACAAAACTTCAGCGAGGGCACTTTCAGAATTTCACACGTAGCATAACACAGCAATTACCAAACTTTCCCCGACTTTTTCAGTGAAAAAATCAAATAGGTCCCTAAGAATTTTAGTAGGACCACGTCATGAACTCGTCGAGATCAAACTCGCCGAACACCTCCTCCTTCTCAAACCGCTGATGACACGTCATCATTTCGTCCCCGTCCGGCAGACTTAACGGCACGTCGAAGTTGAACCCGAACGCGTCCACGTCGTCGCCGAAACGGAAACCGTCGAACGGCGTCAAATCGCCGTCGTACGCCAAGACGGACGTCGGCGACGCGACAGCATCGGAGTACGGAGCGCCGACGTCTATGATATTGCTGTCGACGGCGACCGTCGGTGTCGGTGTCGCTGCCTCGCCCTCCATCGGATTCCTTGGGAAGTTTGTAACGGCGTTTGGGCCCTTGAGCTTCACCGCCGCCTTGTCGTACTCGAGGGCGGCCTCCTCCGCCGTATTGAAGGTACCGAGCCAGAGCCGTTTCCGACGGATAGGGTCACGGATCTCGGCTGCCCACCTGCCCCAGGGCCGCTGCCGGACGCCACGGAACTTGTGGCGGTGCAAGGCGAAGGTGGAGGGTGCCGGTTTCTTGGGTTTCTTGCGCTTGGCCGGGTCATGGTCCGAGGAAGAAGAGGAGGAAGGAGGAGGAGGCGAATCTGAGAAAGGTAGGTGCATTTTGATCTGGATGATTTCCCTCTTCACTCTTGGTGACCTCGTTGGCTTGTTTTGTCGCTCTTCGTCGCTGGAATCAGTTGCGTCTAGGTCGGTGAGTATGATCCGAACGAGCTTCGTTTGGGTTTTCCTCCTGGCTTTGCATGGTGGGTCGCCCTCAAAAAGGGAAGTTGGGGTCCCAAGCTTCATTGTTGACTGAACGGATCGCTTGCCTAAAGTAAACAAACAGAGAAGGAGGAAGGGTTGTGTGTGTGTGTGTGTCTCAAGGTTGTTTGAGTGAAGGGAGGGAGGTAATGTAAAGGGACAAGAGGTAAGGTTTTGCAGTGTTTGAGTGCACGAAAGAGTGGGAAAGGAACAAGGCGGCTTTAAAGCGTAAGAATTTTGAGGTGATGAAAGAAATATGAGGAGATCAAGATGCTTGGTGGGTAGAAATAGAATGTTGAGGACTTGAGGTGGGAAAAGTAGATGTAGATCAAGTGGACTAGTAAATATCCTGGAGGAACTAAGATGTTTGGAAACTTTGCTGGTGATGATATGGTTAGAACCAAAAGAAATAACTTTTGCTTTTCGTCTAGATATATATTCCAAGAGAGAGAGAGAAGAGAATATGGCCAACCTTGGATGCGCTTAAAATCTCACCTGACTTTTGCACACCCACATACAGAGGGAGTATGAGTGAAGAGAGGGCAAGAGAAGAGGTGAATGTTATAGAGAGACGGTGAAGAAAACGAGATCGATCAAAGTGGTAAGGTTAAAGGCGGCTATTTATAGTGCACGGGGTATGTCCTCATTGGACGATTTAGAAAAATATTTCTCTCGTGAGTGGAGGGAAATGGGAAATGGGAAATGGAGTGAGAGTGAGTGGAAGTTTGTGACTCTGTGGTGCGTCATTGTCGGGAGTAGAAAATTCTGGCTTCCAGGTTCCAGCTGGCACCGTTGACGTGTCCCAACTCAAGTTTCCTTCCTCCTCTGATGTCCGTTTCTCTCAACTATAATTCCACTCTTGGATGAGCATTCCACTCATATGATAATATTCCTACTTCCTTCTTATCTCATTCACCAAATCACAATCACAATCACCTCTTTCGCTTTTACTCGCCTAAATTCATAAACTATAATTTTCTTTTGTTCTTTTAATTTGAGAGCCATATCTTCAGAAAGGCTCTTGTGAACTTTATTACTTTTATCTTTTTTATTAGCTAATGTATTCATTCCAAATAAGGGGGAAGAGGGAGCCGAGTCAGGCCAGAAAACTGTCCCAACTTTACAAGTTGGTCAAACTAAAACCGCGCAAATCGCAATTGACGAGCTGCAAGTTTGGTAAAGTTCTCTGAAAAGTGCAGTTGTTATTCTCCAAGAATCAATAACGTTGAAATCGGGCAATTGGTGTGCCTTTCTAGTTTTCACCAAAGCGTTCCAAAAACCAAGAACCGTGACGAAAAAAATAAATCAAAACAAAGGAGAAGACTGAAGAGTAGCGACTGGAGTCTAGAAGTAACGACACTGTTTATGCCCGTAACTAATCTCCTTTCAGTACAACTTTCTGCAACGTTTGTCCACTGGGGGTTCACGACATGGCTCGTCATGACCCTGCATTTGCCCGTAACTACTTCAGTACAATTTTCTGCACCGTTGGTCCACTAGGGGGCTCACGACATTGCTCAGCTGGAGCCTGCAGGTCTTCCTTTTCACCAACATAAAGTTTAAATATCAATTATGCTCGGATTTGATTCCAATACGAAGTGTTAACTCTCCTGGCCGAGATTTGGTATTAAAAGATTAAATTTATATTTAAACGTATAAGCCTTATCAAGTTTGACTTATTTGTAAAAAAAAATAAAAGTCTTATTTAACTTATTAGGTTATATAAAAAAAATAAAACAATAAAAATATATCCAAATAAAATATACAATCAACAGTAATTATATAAATATTCATAATTTTTTTTTCCAACAGAATAATATAAAATAAAATCATTCAAAATTTTTTGTTTAATCAATAAAAAAATGAAATAGATGGAAGAGAGAGAGGACTATTATAAGTAATATAAAATAAAAATTAATATACTAGGTTAGTATAAGAGACTCTAAGGTCGAGCTTTTAAATTAGAGTTTCAGACCTTTTTATTAAACGAATTTTTATACAAATATAAATACGGTTCCAACAATAATTTTAAACATGTAAACTTATTTTAACTAACCGAGTCAAAGGCACCTAAAAAGTCAGTGATTTGTTTACCACTGCTAATTCCAACAACAAAACCAAAATAGAGTATAAGCCTAAAAACCGTGTTTTCTTTTTTAACCTGAAGGATCGGTGCAGGGTTATGATGATATACTAACTTTAAAAACAAGTCCTTGGTTGCAAGTACTAATAAGTGAGAAATTTATTGTGGAATACCTGATCAAACATATATACAATGGATTTTAAGTTTATTTCTTTTCCTTTTATTCTCTTTAAGAAAATTTGTTTGTATAAGCAGATTTTCTAATAATAAAGATGTTGTGTAGAGATTGAATATAATATGGATATTATCAACTAAAATCATCCTAAACGAACATTTATACTTCTTCCAAGGCAAAATGTTCTTTTTCGGAGGTGTTCCATCAAAGAAAAAGAAAATGTTTTCTTAGTGTCCGATAGTATTTTAAAACATCTTATACATACATGTTCTGAACTAATTTTATAAGATTATTTAAACAATAAAAGGTGTTCCATAAGTGCTTATTGTAATAAATAAGTTGAAAATAAACTCTTTCAAATAGGACTTCAAATCTCATATGATTCTTCAGTGACTTGAAATTTTTTCATGTTGGTGTAGTGTGGGGAAATTTGAATTTTAAATTGTGAGCATCACAGCAATGGAGTTCTTTCTAGCATATAGGTAATTTATATGAATTTGTGAGAGGATAATTGATTTTTCATGTTATTGGATAAAAAATATGTCTAAGATGGGATCCATTGAAAAAGAAGAATGAGAAAAAATTAAAGTGGGATCCATACCTTATTTTATAGGGATTTATACTTTTTATATAATATAAGAAGAGATTTTTCATGCTAAATTTATATTGTTTTGTGTGCTAATTTTTTAAATTACTTTTTTTCAGTAAGACTCATATGAGTATGTGTATGTCTCAAAAATTCTTTTTTTATATTGCCCCTATTTTATATCAACAGGAGATAATTTTTTAGAAGATACATTTTTTATCCGGCAGGAAAAATCAATTACTTTTCAAAGTATTTCTGGAAGAGACACATTCGACAACAGTTATGTGTGTTTGTAAATAAATTTGTTTCCCTAATATTTCTAGAAGATTATTATTATTTAGAGTATAGATGAATTAAAAAGGAAGGAAACCTTAAAATCTAAACATCCTATGATGAGTATAGATATTGGAGGGAAAATGTTTAATATGGCTTTCGGCTTGAGGAAGAAGCAAAGGCAAAATAAGCCTGCTATATAGTCAAACACGTGTACAATCATCTATGCTGGCAGAGGCAAAACGTGGCACGGGAGTGACCCCGCTCTTTGCGGAAAAATTTATTATCCTCCTGTTTCATTATTTATTCAGTGGTCTTTTGTTATAGATAGAAATTTTTCTATCACTTTTTTTTTTTTTTTTTACTTTTTCCTAGTCAAACACCCTACTACCGCTTCACCAAATACTCATCGCTCTTCGCTGAGTTTGCTTGTCAATCAAGTGACCAGTCATTTTTATAGATATACATTAATAAAAATTAAATTTAAATATAAATTACTCAAATATTTTATTATTAGATCAATTCAAATGATTTATATTGGTGTTGATATTATAGAAATTGAATAGATAATCTAATATAAATTTTCTAAATCAAAATTAGAGAAAGGTTATACTTACAACTTTTTTTTTACAACCTCTTACAATCATATCTTAACACCTTTAATTTCCGTCAATCAACGGTTATGATTTTCGTAAATTAAAACCTTGCAAATTCTTTGCAAAATTTTCTTTAAGAATGTCACCATAACCTATGTCAGAGGCATCAGTTTCAACAATTTTGAACTGATTTTCAATATTCTTAAAAGAAATTTCTTCTTTAAGGAAATTGATTTATTTTTGTTCAACGGTTATTATTTATTGTGAATTAATAATTAATTAATGAGTTTAATTTACGAAAATCATAACCGTTGATTGACGGAAATCAACGGTGTTAAAATATGGTTATAAGAAATTGTAAAAAAAGAAAATTGTAAATATAACCTTCCTCTCAAAGTTAACGAGTGACTTTTGATTAGTCATTTTGTTAACTTTTCCTGTTACCTCCAACGATCTTGTTTTGTTTTAACCACTGACTTCAATTATAGCAACTTGCCATGACCTCACCGCAAACGTGTCAATGCTAGTGCTTTCCAGCATGCCTTCTTCAGGCCTAGGGAAATTTTTTTAATATTATGAATTTACTGTACTTAGTACACCCATTTATTAAAATGGATAAAAAAAAATTATTTTATATTTTTTTATATTTTCCTTCATATCTCAAATTTTTCGCATTTAGTTAGGATATAGGTAGACCTATTGTACCAGAAAGTTGCTCTCTTGCTCAGCACAAAGCAAACTTTATGGCTTTAATATTTGATGGAGGTTATATTTATAGTTACTTTTCATTTATAATATCTTATAATTATTTTTATTGCTTTTTGATCAAAATCAAATTAATAATTCCCATTTAGTCTACTAAAAAAATTTAATAATTCTCATTTAATACCATTTAATAATCTTTAATTTAGTTTTGATCAAACAATAATAAAATATGGTGGTAAAGAAAAAATAATTGTAATTATAATCTCTTCCTTACTATTTTTATCACTTTTGTCATTCCTAGAGAGAAAATTCTGAAACCATCATAATTGAATGTTCCCACAACGTGGCTTTCATTTTCCAGATATGATGCACACTAGAAACATGCCCAACGTTTCAGCTTTCACCTTCCCAAGGGACATATGACGAGCTTGTAGTTGGGCTGTCCCCGTCAAAATAATGTTGAAAAACGAACTATATTAATACGTCCTTACTAATGATCAGTAACATAAACGAAGATAAGTACGTATCATGGGGTTCATATAAAAAAATGCTAATGATCACCAGCTCTGCCTGACTCTTAGGACAACATTTCAGAATCTCCAGCCCCTTAACATTATATGCCTTAACTATTCCCAGATCTAAAGTTATTTTTTTAATTATTTTTTGTCCCCAAGCATAAAAATTCCAGTTTACATTATATCTGTCACTCGATTGCAATATCCAAGGTCAACCAGCAGAAGTTCCAAAAAAATTACATAACAGTTTCTTCCATCATTAGTGTCTTACAAAGAAATATTCACAAATGATAACGAAGTCCCTTAACATTGTTGAGTCCAATTAACAATAAAAGAAAGCATTGGCATTCATTCAAAATATCTTGTGTTCTTTTACATAAATTATGATTTCGCTGCTTCAATGCAGAAAAGTATGATCATCCCATGGCATACTTCTGAGTCCAGCTGCGAGCCGTAGCTTCATACTTGGCCCTGTCGGTCTTATACATGTGCGCAATTTCAGGCACAAGTGGGTCATCGGGATTAGGATCCGTCAACAACGAGCAAATTGACAGAAGGACCTAAAACTAGTGGAATTAGTTTCTCCAAGGCTCTAAACAGCAGCATACATAAGGCGTCATCATTCAGGTAATAGCATATCACAACAATCTCATAAAAATACAGCTCAAGTAAAACAATATAAAAAGATTCTTAAATAGCTAATATGTCTCCCAGTCGTGTGATGATGAGCTGATCAAGGTGAAATGAAACTAGAGTACTCAAGTCAATACTCAACAACAGATCACAAGTTAACAAGTTTAAACAGATTTACACAAACATAAAGTTATGAGAAACAGCTATGCATATCCTGGATATCTGATTCCAGACTACTTTTTGCACTAAACCAACACTAAATCAACAAACAAATCTTGAATTATTTTGGTGCTAGGATCTCAAGTTTACTAGTACTGAAACGGGTTCCAAACAATCCCAAAAAAAGAAAAAGAAAAAAAAAGATACACAAATAAAGCCGAGATACATTAAAAAAAAAAACATAAAACACATCAACATGCATAATGCAGCAATTTTTGACGTATTATATAAGCCCAGTTCCTTGATCTAAGTATAAGCTCCAATTTCCCAAGAAATAGGCACCAAAGGTACGATAGCAATAACACTTGCATTTTTTTTAATTTCAGCAGTCACGAGCATTTACCCAATAGAACATATACTATTCCACTACTCGCACATGCAGTATATTGACTCATAACATACAGGATATCCCATGGTAATTTGGAAATTACATCCTACTATGATCAGCAAGTGACACACAAACTCAAAACTTACGCAAAATTATTAAATATCAAAAAACCTTGGAAATGGTTAGCGCTGGGCTCCATTGTTCTTTGAGAATGTCCAGACATATACTGCCATTACTGTTGATGTTTGGGTGGAATACCTTAGTCCTAAATGCAACCTGCAGTTTTTAAGCATATTAATTTTTATCAGTCTAAATTTCAAACTTAGACTCCTAATACGTTCAAGATATTTACAAACTTAACTACAGGCCAGTAAAACAGCAGTAGTTCAGAGAGTAAATTAAACTGGAAAATCCTACTATAAATTGGGTGAGTAGTTTATCAAATAATCAAAGTACCACTAGGAATATGACTGGAATAGGAAAAAGAGGAGAATAAAAAAGAAAAGAAAAAAAAAAGGAACAGGAAAATGTATCTCTCATTTAACGAGGTATAGAGTTGAATTGAGGGCTATGTAATCCAAGATCTAATTTTCTATCACTAACTCAACTTTCTTTCCAGCCTTCTTTTTTACTAGTACCGCCACTATTTGTGTGTGTGGGTGGGGTGGGTACACACATGCCTGAACTGGGATAACAGAAGTAGGGAATACTCAAAGGAAAATGTTGAAAAAGCAAGTACACCTTTATCCCAACTAACTACAAAAAAATAAAAATAAAATCCAAAATAGATATACAGACACATATCACAATCCCACCTGGAACTAATCAGTTTTCCTGCAAACATAGCACTAGGAGCCATGAAACACCAGTATTCAAGGAAACACAATTATGAGTATCAGGTACCACAAGTACAAAAAGCTTGGTTCCAACTTCAGATTACATTTCCAAATTCCAAGTATTAATGGCTTTTTCTACTTCTAATATATTTCATCCAAAATAGAAAGAGGTACTAGAGTGACATCTCTCTTCCACAGAGAGGAGAATCATTCAAGTCAACATTTCAAACAAAGAAAAATGTTATTATAAAAAAATTAATTTTGAAATCCTATATAACGCCTTTATATGAATAATTTTATTTTTGTAATGTAATATATTCGAAAAGAGAAGCCAAATTAATAAAGACCTTGATCCAAATGGATTTTCAAAACATTTGATTTTTTAATAAATCCAAAAGGTGGTGGTTGTTGTATGCATGTCATATTCATGCAAACTCCATCCACGATCTGAAAACTCCAATGAAACCACATCTATATTTCTATCCATGAAAACTTGCATAAAGAAATTCTTACCAAAAAATTTCTAAAAAAAAAAAAAAAACACTAAAGTCATTTAATAAATACAAACAAGAGTAAACCAAGACTTCAGCACATGGATAAATTCTTTTGTACTGTCAAAAACAATCTTATTTCTATTGAAAGAATTTGAAACACATGACACATGGAAGTTTGATTGTGCAAGTGTAAAGGTGTATGTTTGCATGTACAAACAAAATAAAAAGCTTCGGAAAGAAAAAATTGCAATTCCACAATATTAGTGGAAAGGCTCAATTAATGGACGTCTTTTCCATAAATAAATTGAGAAATCTAAATATTTTTATTCAATTAAAAAGAAAAGAAAAGAATGAAAGCTGGACATAAGTTATCTTTTAGTACAAAGACAGAATGAAATATATGGTAACACAAACATATAAAGACTCAGATCCTCTGTTTATAGTGTGTGGTTGATTTATCAGAAAGTAAAACTTATTAACAAGGGCCGATCATAACCATGATGACAAATGACCTGCTTGCACAACAGGTCAAACTACAAACCTCCTATGATGTTTTATGCACACCAGATAGCAGCAGAAATTAGAAATACCCCCAGACAGATTGTCAGAGAGGCCACCAGGCAAACATCCTTCATATAGAAGTTTTATAATGTTAATACCTATATCTTTTGTCATCTTTATATTGTATAGTTTGAACCATCCTTGAAATAATATATAGATTCAAGCTAGGTGGATTAAATGGAGACCAATGTTTTATGGTAGAGAAAGTGGGGCAGTAAAGTACCAAAAATAGTATAACCTAAGTGTTGCAGGGATCAAAATTTGGTGGAAGAATGGACATACAAGTCAGTATGGAATGAATGTACCGGAGAGAAAGTAGGTGTAGCATCTATTGACAAAAGAGATGGTAGAATCTTGCCTCAGATGAGAAGATCTGTAGAAGCTTAAAACCGCAATAAGAAGCCTAAAACCTAAGATGGTTTTTCTTGGAAGATGATACGATACCCCTTAGGGTCAATTTAGGAAAAGCAATTGGGCTGAGTCAGCAATAAGGCAGTTAGGGAGAAAATGACTAGGCAGCATGGGCAACGTGAAGACTATGTGGCTGTTATAAAAGAAAGTGGTGCTGGAAAAGGAAGGAACTTTGGGAATTATTGGGATCCTTTTGGATATTGGGAGAGACCCCTGAGCCTCTCGAATCGCTCAGGAATATCCTTGTTTTCTTTATCTTCATGTGTTAGTTCTTCATTGCTTGTAATCTGTCTCTGTTTGTATCACAGTTTTATGGTTAATGCAAGAGTTATACTGTTTTCTTTTTAATTCTCTTATTTTTCTGGGTTGAATCCTATCAATTGGTATCAGAGCTCTCCGATCTAGGGAGGGTTTTGAACCACATCAATTCAAAAGAAAGAAAGAAAGAAAGATGGAATACAGATCTGAAGATTGGAGGAAAAGTGAGATGCAATTGGAAAATAGATTTGAAGAATGGAGAAAAAGAGGAAAGCAAGTTGAAGAAAATCATAGAGAGATTCTCAGACTCCTTGATGAGATTCTTCAGAACACCAAGCGTCTCTCTAGAGAACGATCACGTACAAGAAGGAGCGGCAAAAGCCTTGAGGAGAACAAGATAATCGAGACTTTGAAGAAGGATGATGAAGTGGAATTTTCGAAATCAAAAACAGAGATCGTGAAAGAGGAAACTCTTGTGAAGGATGCACAACCAACATCTTCATTCACGAAACCAGATTTGGGCTGCCGTATGGAGAAGAAATTTCAGAATGAAAACAAAGAACAGTCACCTATGAATGATGTGCAAGCGACGATGTCGACACAGCCTACGGAGTTGGATCTTCATGAGTATGAGGAGTCTCCCCAATGCAACTATGAACGAAATCAAAAGACGTGTGGGAGAAGGAAAGTAGGGTTAGGGAACTCAATACAAAACGTGGGCCACAGTGCTGATTATTCAGGTCAGACCCCAATTGTTGATGGTGAACCTGAGTATGATAAAATGGCTGAAGTTGAAGATGTTGTGGATAAGGAAGCTTCTGCAAGTGAAGATGAAAAGGAAAAAGTAGATGAAGAAAGTTGCGCGAAGTTGGTGCTTGAATCGGCAGCGTCACATCCGCTGGAAGAGGTGGGCAACCCGCCACTATTTCTTGAGCCGCCATCGGTCAAGAAGGAGGAGTCTTCGTGGCTGTTACAAACACGCAAGCAGTTCACTAGATCAGGAAGTGCAAACCAGAACTTGGGCCAGTTTGCTAACCTAATGGGCCAGGTCCAAAGTGCTGCCAAATTGTCCCAAGGTCAGCCCTGTTTTATTTTTTTATGTGTAAGTTGGGCTGATGAATCCAAAAAGAAAGAAAAAAATTCTGGTCTTTGGGGAAATTGGGCTTATGAGCCCATAACTACATCTGGACTAATAGGACTGGAAAAAGGGTTAGTGGTGAGTAGATTGACGCACATGATCAAGAACTCGTTTGAGTGAGGAAGTTGTAACATGAAGGCGGCAACATCCATGGGCAAGGTGCTGGCGATGCAGCTGAAGGCGGAGGAACCATGTATAGGAGTAGGAGGTAGGGTCTACATTGGCATTGAGAAGGAGATCAATCATTCTGGATCTAGTGGATTGTGGGCTGAGTTTGTAAGCAACAGAGGATTTGAAGCTTGGGGCCTAAACTCTCCTTCGAATATTGATCCTTGGTCGATTATGGGAGATGAATCGTCTGTAAATATTTCAATTGATTGTAAATCCTGCTTTGACCATAATAAGGTTGCATTTCAATTGGGGATATTATACAGTACAGGTGAAAACAGATGCCCAATTGATCATTTTGGTGTTTATAATTCTGGTTTTTGGGGCATGAATATTGAGCCTAATGTGCTTGGGACAACAGTTGAAATAGAACAGTGGGATCCAGGTGGAAATTGTCGAAATTGGTGTGTCTATGGAGTCCTACAATTCAAACAGTGGGATCCAGGAGGTGGGTCTTTATTGACTAAACCGCACCTTGAGGACAAGGTGCTTAAAAGAGGGGAGTATTGATACGATACCCCTTAGGGTCAATTTAGGAAAAGCAATTGGGCTGAGTCAGCAATAAGGCAGTTAGGGATAAAATGGCTAGGCAACGTGGGCAACGTGAAGACTATGTGGCTGTTATAAAAGAAAGTGGTGCTGGACGAGGAAGGAACTTTGGGAATTATTGGGATCCTTTTGGATATTGAGAGAGACCCCTGAGCCTCTCGAATTGCTCAGGAATATCCTTGTTTTCTTTATCTTCATGTGTCATTTCTTCATTGCTTGTAATCTGTCTCTGTTTGTATCACAGTTTTATGGTTAATGCAAGAGTTATACTGTTTTCTTTTTAATTCTCTTATTTTTCTGGGTTGAATCCTATCAGAAGACCAAGAAAAACCCAAGTAAAACGGTTAAAGAGGACTCAGATCTAAATGCCCTTCTTGAAGACATGATTTTTGACAAAACACAATGCCATTGTTTGATCAATGTAGCTGACCCAACCTAGTCGGAAAAGGCTTTTGTCGTTTGTATTTTGGATAGAAAAAGAAAGATTATTGAATACGAAGGGGGACATACAAGAGAATAAGGTATCCTCCAAAAGAAACCACAAACTGAAGGAAAACAAAGAAAAACAATAGAAAACCACAAAATAAACAAATTATTACAAAGAAACAGAAAAAGGAACCACCAGAACTGCCCTAAAACCCTTATAGGAAACTCCCTCAGCAAAACACCTGCAACAAAAGGGAAAACTAGAACAATATTAAGCATAAAACAACACTCCTTTTGCCTTTGACAAAGAAGACAGCTTCAAATTACCTCGTTGAGCTCTCCACAATTTACAGTTGTTACCAACCAAAGGTAGTCTATCCCTTCAACCCTAAAAATTATGTATTTTCATCTTGAGTAGATGTGAGTATATTCATACTTCATAGAACATCACATCCACTGCCAGTTTAACAAGGAATGGGGTCCTCAATGGCATAGTCTGCAACCCGTCAAGGGCACTCACAGTGAACTATTTGCATTAGGACAACTGGACAAGCCAGGTAGCTAACCAGTCAACCTGGAAACAGTTTGGGCAGTAGGTGCAAAGGTTGTCAAGTATCTCGCTCAACAAAACCTCCACTGCTATTGAAGATTAAAGGAGGCTCAACACTAAGTTCATAATCACATTAATCTTCGAAACAAAAAAAACAGTTTGAACTCTATAGATACAACTTAAAGAAAGAAATTTAGAATGACAGACATTGTAAGCTTATTCCAAAGCAATATGAATAAAGTAATCATTGAACAGACCTCAAAATGATTGCAACATCAGAAGACATGACTATACAAGCAACTAATATGAGTAACGAAGTAGAATAGAGTACCTTTGGTGGCTTGAAGGGATAATCAGGAGGAAAATGAATTGAGACTAGGAAAACACCACCTGCATACGGGCTATCAGCAGGTCCCATGATTGTGGCTTGCCAGTGAAACATGTCCTCAGCCACAGGACCTGAAGTAGACAACAAGATCTTCCAAAGTTCTTGAAAAACAAGAATAAAAAAGGAGGAACCTAAAGCTAATTTCAAATAACCAGCAAGAAGAGCTACAACTTACAGCAGATGAAGTATCTTAATTAATGGATAAATACATGCTTAATGAAAACGATTGGAAGCACAACATATCTACCAAGGACTAATACTTATCATCCCCAAAGCTCTGTGGACAAACTGATTATGCACACGTTCTAAATGGTCACTGGAAATAACAGTCTTACCCACACCTTGCCATAGTAATAAAAATGCAGACACATACAGGAAGCAGATTCTTGTGGATCGAAGTATATTATAGGTTGTTTTGTTTAAAATCAACTCTCCAACTTGAATCTAAAGCTAAAAGAGGAACATAGTTAAACTAAATAACATAATCAAGATACCAGCGATAACAGATAAATAATTAAAGAATTTTACATAAGACCATGCACACACACACACAAAAGCACATAAAAATCCACAAATAGCAGAAAATGAAGCACCAATATTTTTTCTGTTCTTCATTTTATTTTTAGGGTGGTGAGGTTCAACAATCAACAACCTAATAGCGTTGGTTATTACTTATTACCCTTCGAAATTGAAAGATAAAAATTAAAAGAATTCAACTTTTTTTTTATCACACAGAAAAAAAAAACGAGGGATCAGGAAGCTCACCTGCACTGCACGATGTAGGAGGGTCCTTCTGCAAATCCTTGAGCTCCTTCAAGATGCGTTTCGAAGCCATAGATAAACTTCAGGGGGGGGAAAAACTGAGAAACGCAACGTAGAAACCAGAGTCCACATATATCCCCCAGAAATAAAGCTTATGAGAAACAGATCGTTATACCCAGAAACCAATCAACAGAATTGAACCAAAAAAATTTTGAACTTGAATTGATATTGACAGAAAAGGCACTAACCGGTTTCAATTAGCACAGGGAAAGCGAGAGAAGGAGAAAACTGACCTGGGCCAGACCCGTAGAAGAAGAACAAGGGACTCAAAGACAAAGAGACTGCGAAGAACTGAGAGAGAAAGTTAAAGAAGGGGAAGAAGGAGGAGGAGGAGGAGAATAAGAGAAAGAAAGGACGAGAAATTCTGGAAATTTCAGAAAGAAATGGTATTGGATGGTAGCGTGAGATGAACGTTGTGACGTTATATTAATTTTTAATTGAGAGACAGAGAGAAATACCGACAGAAAGAAAATAAATGTGTCATAAAAACAAACATATATTTATGTAATAATGTAAGTATGTAACAAAGAGACTGCATTGAATTTCATCAGTATTTGTATATATTTTGTTAGAGTTTTATAATTCTCATCTCACTCAACATCAGAATTCAAATTTTTCACACCTTTCGATTTTTGTGCTGACATAGGTTTTATATATAATTTTTTCTAACATATAAGTCTCACATGCTTTTTATCTCTACAACATGAGAATTGAATTCTCATTCAACATGAGAAAATCAAACCTCATTTTGTTAATCCTACGTATACACATACCTTCTGGCTTCTACCGTTCCGTTACATTTTATCTCAAATAATAAAAACAACCATAGACTTTCGAAAAAAAATAAAATAAAAACAACCATAGTTACCACTATCATATGCTATGTAATACGTATCCTACGAAATGGTATCATTCACAAGTGGAGCGATATACATACAGAGATGTAACAAAAAAATAACTGTATCGGATGACACGATATTATATTGTATGATACGATATTATATCGTATGATATAGTGTCATATCATGTATTATACTATACAAAAATTAAAACAAAATTTATAATTTTTAATAGAAAATCGTGTTTCATATGAAGTCAAAAAACTAACTATTCAAAGACTATAAGCTTTGAACAAATCCAGCCATAGAGATGTTAAGCTTCCAGCCATAGTTTCACGAAAAAGAGTTTTATGAAAAGCATCAGAGACATCTCCAAGAGTTCAGCTTCGACTTCAAGTTTAGTTTTCTTTTTCTTATACCTGTTAATCCATTTTTATTTTTATTCTAAATTTATTCTTTTTTTTCTTATACTTATACAAAAAAATAATGTGAACAAGCTTGATAAATAAGAAATGAGAGATGAGTAAGATAACTACACTTATGAAGAGAATGATGTATTAGTTATGTCATTGATAAATAATGATAATGATAGTAGTGATAATAATATTGATAATTGAGTAGGAGAATAATTGATTTTCATTTTAGTTACTTATATATTTTGCTGAGTGGATCCTTTTTGAAATTTAAATTTATATCATATTAGTTATATTATATATTTTTAAATAATTTTTTTGATATTTCTCTATTGTAATACGATTAATAATATGTGTATAGTCAAAAAAACTAAGTTTTTTAAGTAAAAGAATAAATTCCTTAGGTCGTGTTTGGTTCGAGACTTCTCCTCACTATCCCAGCAAAGTGCATCTGGGTATCTTATTTCTCCACGTTTGGTTGAAGGATATCATGAAATTTCTCCATCAAACTTGCTTCCCCATCTATCCACATATGCGTGTAAAAAATGAGTTTTTCACTATTTCAGAAGCCCTCTCAGATGATGGTATTGTTTTGAATACCGGACAAATTGAAAAGGGGAAGAAAAATGTGACAAATTTACCCCTCCTCTTATCCCTCCTCTTCGCTGCTATCTCCACAGCTCTGCAACTGGGAGAAGCCACCATGAAAGAGCACAAAAAATTTGGGAAAATCTGGAGAGAGAAAAACACAGATAGAGAGAGAAGGGATGAAGCCACCATGAAAGAGCACAAAAAATTTGGGAAATTCTGCAGAGAGAAAAACACAGATAGAGAGAAGGGATGAAACCACCATGAAAGAACACAATTTTTTTTTGAGAAATTCTGCAAAGAGAAAAACACAGATAGAGAAAGAAGGGATGAGTGCTATTGTTTATTGGTGTGTTGGTATGAATCCCGACGAGATGGAATGGGCCAATGAATGAGTGCCACGTCAGTGAGGGGAGGGTGGGGCTCTTTAATCATGCGCTTGGAGAGAGCCAAGGTTACGACATGAACACCATACAATACATCCGCTTCACACTTTAACATTTCAAAATTTTAATAAAAAGGTTACTTTCGTAATTTTAACTTTTTTTCCCATCTATTTCTTATTTTCAACCAAACATACATCAGGATTTTTAACCCAATTTTCCCATCAATATTTTGAGGTACCAAACAACTTTTTTTAAACTTTCCTACCAAACTTACTTTCCTTCCATTTTCCTATCAATTACATTTTTCTAGTAAAATAAAATTTCTCCTGAACCAAACACTACCTTATACAAGATGAGATAAAGGGATGACTCGGCAAAGTACAGATCTCTGATAAATAGAAAAATCTATGTTTATGAAAATGTATTGGCAGGATAATGTTATATATACTTGTGATGTTAGACATTTTCAAAATATATGAAGTTGACATTATTCATTAAAACCATGGATGATTTTTCCATATTAAGTTATGGCTAAAAACACTATATTTTAGCAAAAATCCTTTTAAATTGTTATCTTCAATAAGATAAATATCTCATTCAGTGTGTGATTTGGTACGTGGAAGACAAAGACTAAAATAGATGCTATGTATCATGTATGTGCAAGGAAGAAGTATTAGCCAACAAAATCTGCATATTTTTTTACTTGTGAAATTATGTATTTGTTATGGAATATTTTCATATCCTAACCACCTATCCAAGGATCCCTTAAAGGATAATTACCCAATTATCCTAACAATATAAAACAGTAAGGCTGCTAAGGATAGAGTCCCTATCCACACAGAAAGGAAGTTGAATCTTACTACAACTGGGAGATCTACACAAGCCCAAGAGGTAACCGTTATAAATAAGAGGTTAAAAACCCCTGGTACACACCTTTAACTCATTTACTACTTCTTCCCACACTGTGCACACACCCACGTCTCGGCTATAAGCATATTGCTTGTGCGCAGTGATGGGGATATTGGCTATAAGCCAACAAAGATACCTATCCATAGGATATCTCTGAGCGCATACCATACGGTATAGCAATACGGTATTTCCCGGACCGAACATTGGCGCCGTCTGTGGGGATCAGCAAATTTCGACTCCCATACATGGTGAACACGCGCGGCATAGCACGAAGCCACAGATTGCAGGCTACCTCACGGGCCCTGAAATTGCTGAAACCACATATATATGAGGAGAAAAACCCTACCGCAAAAAGGGCCTTTGATCCTCCGAGAGACTCTAAAATAGAGCTCTAGATCCAAGCAGATGATGATTTGACAAAGATTCTTGTCGTCGCAATTCTTGATGGAGAAAGTAAAGACCTGGAGGTCATTAAATCATAAGGAAAAAGCTTCAATCCAAAAGAGGGCTTAAAATTTAAAAGCTCAGCCTCAGCCTTAAGCTCAGCCCAACGAAGGGCTTCAAATTTAATAGTTCGGCCTCGGCCTTGAGCTTCAACTCAACCCAGTGAAGGGCTTCAAGATTAAAGCTCGGCCTCGGCCTTGAGCTCAGCCCAACAAAGGGCTTCAAGTTTAATAGCTCGACCTCGGCCTTGAGCTCCAACTCAGCCCAGTGCAGGGCTTCAAGATTAAAGCTCGGCCTCGGCCTTGAGCTCAGCCCATCAAAGGGCTTCAAGTTTAATAGCTCGGCCTTGGCCTTGAGCTTCAACTCAGCCCCGGCCTTGAGCTTCAACTCAGCCCAGCGAAAGGCTTCAAGATTAAAGCCCAGCCTCGGCTTGAGCTCAGCCCAACAAAGGGCTTCAAGTTTAATAGCTCGGCCTCGACCTTGAGCTCCAACTCAGCCCAGTGAAGGGCTTCAAGATTAAAGCTCGGCCTCGGCCTTGAGCTAAGTCCAACAAAGTAGGGGTGTTTGCGGTCTGGATTGGATCGGTTTTGGAAGCAAAAATCATTCGATCCAATCCTTTCGGTTAGACCATATAATCATCCATTCGGTTTGGACTTTTTTCAAATCCGTTCCGATCTGATCCAATTTTTTCGGTTTGGATTGGATCGATTTTCGGTTTTTTGAAAATTCTAAAATTTGTTTCATGCAGATAACATCTTTTACAGATATATTGGCTTTGTAAAAAAAATTGAAATACAAAAGCATCAGTAAACAATAATATAGGTTTTTTTTGGGACAATGAGATATGAAGCTCTACGCAGATGAAATTTTGTTGATGAGATGTGACTAGGTTTTTTCTTGGGTTTAGTTGATGGGTTAATGGGTCTTGGGTTTAGAAATTTTTGGATTATGATTGGATACCAAAGTAAGTAGAGGGGAATTAATATATTGGATCGGTTTTCATTAAGCAATCCGAAAACCGATCCAATCCAATTAAAAATTGCGGTTTTTTTCGGTTTTCGATTTTTCGGTTTTCGAATTGTTCGGTTATCGATTTTTCGATTCGGTCACCGCGGATTGAATCGGTTTGGATCGGTTGATGAACACCCCTACAACAAAGGGCTTTAAGTTTAAAAGCTCAGCATCATCCTTGAGCTCAGCCCAACAAAGAGCTTCAAGTTTAAAAGCTCGGCATCAAGCTCGAGCTCAGCCTAGTGAAGGGCTTCAACTTTAATAACTCGGCATCGGCCTTGAGCTCCAACTCAGCCCAATGAAGGGCTTCAACTTTAATATCTCGGCCTCGGCCTTGAGCTCCAACTCAGCCCAATGAAGGGCTTCAAATTTATTAGCTCGGCCTCGGCCTTGAGCTCAGCCCAACTAAGGGCTTCAAGTTTCATATCTCGGCATTGGCCTTGAGCTCCAACTCAGCCCAGTGAAGGGCTTCAAGATTAAAGCTCGGCCTCGGCCTCGAGCTCAGCCCAACAAAGGGCTTCAAGCTTAATAGCTCGGCCTCGGCCTTGAGCTCAACCCATCAAAGGGATTCAAGTTTAATAGCTCGGCCTCGGCCTTGAGATCCAACTCAGCCCAGCGAAAGGCTTCAAGATTAAAGCTCGACCTCGACCTTGAGCTCAGCCCAACAAAGGGCTTCAAGTTTAATAGCTCGGCCTCGACCTTGAGCTCCAACTCAGCCCAGTGAAGGGCTTCAAGATTAAAGCTCGGCCTCGGCCTTGAGCTAAGCCCAACAAAAGGCTTCAAGTTTAAAAGCTCGGCATCAGCCTTGAGCTCAGCCCAACAAAAGGGCTTCAAGTATAAAAGCTCGGCATCAGGCTCGAGCTCAGCCCAGTGAAGGGATTCAACTTTAATAGCTCGGCCTCGGCCTTAAGCTCCAACTCAGCCCAATAAAAGGCTTCAAATTTAATAGCTCGGCCTCGAGCTCCAACTTAGCCTAATGAAGGGCTTCAAATTTATTAGCTCAGCCTCGGCCTTGAGCTCAGCCCAACGAAGGGTTTCAAGTTTACTGGCTCGACCTTGAGCTCCAACTCAGCCAGTGAAGGGCTTCAAGATTAAAGCTGCTCGGCCTCGGCCTTGAGCTCAGCCCAACAAAGGGCTTTAAGTTTAATAGCTCGGCCTCGGCCTTTAGCTCCAACTCAGCCCAGTGAAGGTCTTCAAGATTAAAGCTCGGCCTCGGCCTTAAGCTCAACCCAACAAAGGGCTTCAAGTTTAAAAGCTCGGCATCAGCCTTGAGCTCAGCCCAACAAAGGGCTTCAAGTTTAATAGCTCGGCCTCGGCCTTGAGCTCTAACTCAGCCCACTGAAGGACTTCAAGATTAAAGCTCGGCCTCGGCCTTGAGCTCAACCCAACAAAGGGCTTCAAGTTTAAAAGCTCGGCATCAGCCTCGAGCTCAGCCCATCTAAGGGCTTCAAGTTTAATAGCTCGGCCCCGGCCTTGAACTCCAACTCAGCCCAGTGAAGGGCTTCAAGATTAAAGCTCAGCCTCAGCCTTGAGTTCCAACTCAGCCCAGTGAAGGGCTTCAAGTTTAAAAGCTCAGCCTCAGCCTTGAGTTCCAACTCACCCCAGTGAAGGGCTTCAAGTTTAAAAACTCGACATCAGCCTTGAGCTTCAACTCATCCCAACTAATGACTTCAAGTTTAATAGCTCGACCTCAGCCTTGAGCTCCAACTCAACCCAGTGAAGGGCTTCAAGATTAAAGCTTGACCTCGGCCTTGAGCTTCAACTCAGCCTTAGCCTTATCTTCAGTCACCGAGATCAAAATGGAGACAGAAAATGAGAGATGTGATCTTAATAAAAGGATCACACCCCAATCTGAGATAAAAATGAAGACAGAATTGGAGAGATGTGATTCTAGTAAAAGGATCACACCCCAATCCGAGAAGACGAATTTGGAGAGATCGTGATCCTGGAAAAAGATCACACCCCAATTTGAGATAAAAGACAAATTGAGGCGGTATATGATGTTGGACTCCTATTCAAGATTTTGGCAACAAAGCCAAATGACAAAGTTTGCGGCCCAACAGGCCAGCCTCAAATTAAAGATCCACCGTAAATGAAGCGGGGTTCAAAATAAGAAAACCACGGCGTAAGAAGCCGGGTTCAGATAAAAAGTCCACCGCTAATGAAGCGTGACTCAAAGTAGAAAGCCACGGTACGTTAAGCCGGACTAAAATCAGAAAGGCAATGATACTGCCTTCAAAAGTATAGACAAGGCAAAGGCCAAGTCAATTTAAAGAAAGCCACGGTATGTGAAGCTGGGCTCAAAATGAAGAAGGCAGAAAACTGCCCTAGTAACTTAAGACTACAACAGCAAAGTCAAGTCGTTAAGGTTTTGGCCACAAAGGCCTAACGGGCTGGCCTCAAATTAAAAAGTCAACGCGAATGAAGCGGGGCTTAAAATAAAAGCCACGATATACTTATTCGGGCTTAAAATCGAGGAGACGAACTCTTCCTTCAAGAATCCAAGACTATGGCAAAAGAAGCCAAGTTCGTAAAAAATAAGAGAAGTCATGGTATTCGAAGCCAGACCAATTGTTCAAGAAGGCACGAAAGACCTTCCCAAAAATAAGATATAGGCAACAAGTCAAATCCAAAAGGGGGAAATCGTAGTAAGAAAATTAGTGCTCCCTAAAGTACAATACACCTTTGCAAAAGGCCAAATTCATGCTAATAGAGATTTCGGTATGCGAAACTGAGCCAAATCTGGAACCACGACACTTAAAGCCAGGAGGTGCAAAGTCGGGTTAATTATTAAGGAGGCATGAAATGTTGTCCTAAAACTTAGACGAACGCCTATATAAAAGATTGACAATAATAAGCCTAGTCAAAACTAGAGAGCCTCAGCAAGAGAAGCTGAGCTCAAAGTCAAAAAAGTCAAATACCGCCTCACCACTCAGAGACTTCAAGAGAAAAGAAGTCAATATAAAAAGCTAAACAAAGAAGAGGTAGTCGCACCAGATCCAAGGCAGGATCATAGTACCCCAGTAGGGTCGACCTACCAATCAGACTTAGGCACCCCAGCAGTCCAAGCTTCCGAATTGCCGAGCTAGGGGGCAACTGTTATGGAATATTTCCATATCCTGACCACCTACCCAAGGATCCCTTAAAGGATAATTATCCAATTATCCTAACAATATAAAACAGTAAGGCTGCTAAGGATAGAGTCCTTATCCCAACAGGAAGGAAGTTGAATCTTACTACAACTGGGAGATCTACACAAGCTCAAGAGGTAACCGTTATAAATAAGAGGTTAAAGACCCCAGGTACACACCTTTAACTCATTTACTACTTCTGCCCACACTGTGCACACACCCACTTCTCAGATATAAGCCTACTGCTTGTGCATAGTGATGGGGATATTGGCTATAAGCCAACGAAAATACCTATCCATAGGATATCTCTGAGCGCATACCATACGGTATAGCAATACGGTCTTTCCCGAACTGAACAGTATTAGACCATAATTATAGTTTGTTGTAGTGTTTGTATTTTGTAAATGTGACTTAATACCTTATTTTGGTTGAATTATTTATATTTTGATATTTTGGAATAAAATCAATTTTAATAAAACTTGCATTCTAAATTTTTTGTACAATATACTTATTTAATTATGTAGTTAACGCTCCTTGATTAATAATCAAAGGAAGTTACGTCTTTTACCCCATCTGCTCAGCCATTTGCCAACTCCCAATACGAATTTAGCATATCGTGCATAAATATGTATAGGACATTGTATGATGTTTTTTTTTTAGGATGCAAAAGTTGTCTTGTCACCACAAAAATCACACATATATATAGTAACTAGAGGTTGGCAGATTAATTCACAGTTAGTGATGTAAATGACCTGAGCGGAGACGAGCTAAACTTTAACTTAAACAAGTTAGTTTATGAAAAATATTAGCTTAGTACAAGGTAAATTTTATGCTTGTTTATAAAAAAATTAAAGTCTTGGCTTGAGCTTGGATTGACTTATTTATAATTATAAAATATATTTTTTCCAAATTCACATACGTCCAAATGTTGAGACTATAAATGCATCAAATTCTGTATTCCTTCGTCAGAGAAAAAACAATCACAAGATTCACTCAATCCACATATATTTTAAGATCAAATAATGAGTTTCGCAATTTCTTCTTAAACATTGATTCGATTTATAAAATAAAGAATGTGGGGGAAGAATATTTTTAAAAAAAATATGTAATATAGACTAACCTTTAAAAAATTTCAGTGATAACAATTTGTAATATTAAAAAAAAATAACAGTTACTATGACCTTTATTAAAATAACCAAATAAACCCGATAAACAATTCAATCTCATCTCATGTCACCATCATTCTCATCCTCAAATTGGAACAAAACCTAACCAAAGAAGAAAAAAACTACATATTAGCATTACTACCAGACCTCATGTTACCCCAGAAAAACTTAACACTTACCCCAAAGTCCACCAGCACCTTCATATGAGCAATTTGATATAAAAAAATAGGGTTAATGATTTATTGACATAAAACTATGTTATGTATTATAATAATATATCGAGTCAGCTCACGAGATTTCAAGCCAAGCCTCATGAAATTAAGCTTGAGCTTGTTTGCTAAACAAGCTTTTTTTAAAATTTAAGCCCGTTCTATTTATTAAACAAGTCAGGTCAAACCAAGTTTAAAGCAAGCCAAGTCTTGAGCCCTTGACAAACCGCTCGGCTCATTTACACCCATATTCACAGTCAAGACAGATTGTTATAAAAATACAAAAACTATTATTGTAATCTCACCCAATAGCTTAAGTTTTTGTAGGTTGAATTGATTCTTTTAGTTTAATCTTCATGTCCCTCATTTAATTAATTAATAAATAATTAAGTATTGTGAAATTTATTAGCATACATAGGTGAGTTTGTGCATTGTGCACTCTTTAAACACAGTGGACTTTTGTGTAAGGGGATGTGTTAGAAAAATATAAAAATTATTAATATAACATCACCCACAACTTAAATTTTTGAGTTGAATTAATTCTTTACAAACGATCTTAGGGGAAGTTTGGTATAAGAGATATTTTTTTTACAGGAAAAAAAATGTTACTGGAAATATGTTGGAATTTTTTTTCCTGAACAAGTTACAAAAAGGTATTTGATAGGACAAAATTTTTATAAAAAATGTTGAGTTATTTTTATTATGCTATATTTGGTTTGTTGTAAAATATTTGTGTAAATGTGTACTAAAACTACCCATTGTGTTTGAATATTTGCTTTGAACGTTCGTTTTATAAAAAGACAGTCTGTCTCTTTCCGTGTTCGTTGTTTTTGTTTTCTATATCGGATAGGGCTGCCGGAGAGCTAATCGACACCCGCAAAGCCGCGTTGTGCCAGCCCTCTCCCTCCGCCGTCCATATCGTGTGCAAGACCTGCCTCAGTATGCTGTCGAAACCCACGAATATTGCTTCGTCAACGTCTTTCGTTTTGCAGCCAACATTTCGAAAGATGTCATCATGTGCATTTTCAGTTATAACCATTTAATTAATGAGTTGAAGTTCATGTTCTGATCTCTCAATTTATGAGTTGAATGAGTATTCTGATTCTCTCTGTTTCTTTAAAATTCAACTTTATGTCTATTGCTTTTGATTGGTTTTCGCAGATTTCGTGTATTATAGATATAGCTACTACTAAATGACTACATTGTTTCAGTAATAATAAAATGTAATCCATGGAGACTGCTTGGGTTTTGGTAGGTTTTGGGTTTTTTTGGGTTGATTTGGGTCATAATTGTTTTTAACCTTGTAAAGTAAATGTCTTTCGCCTTGACAGAGGTTGTAAGTAGTGGAAATTATGAGTTTGTATTTTTGGTTTTAATTGTTTTTATTTCAAGAAGTATTTGATGCCAAGATTCATAGGATTTTACACCTTTTTAGCAATTTGTGGGTAATTTACCTTGGGGTTTCACAGAGTTTTTCAAAGAAATGCAAATTCAATTTGCATTTAGGTTTTCTTCACTTTGTTTATTTCTGTAAAGAACCAATTCAACCCAAAAGCTTAAGCTGTTGGGTGAGGTTACATTAATGGTTTTTTATATTTCTCAACACACCCCTTCACACGAGAGCTTAAAGGGTGGACAATGCACAGACCCACCTACCTATGCGAACAAAGAAATTCCACTTGAAAGAAAGTCGGGCGGCGAGGATCGAACCTGGGACACGAGGCTCTGATACCATGTAAAGAACCAATTCAACTCAAAAGCTTAAGCTGTTGGGTGAGGTTATTTATATATCTCAACAATTTCTATAGGAAGGTTCTTGGGTTAATTCATTTGTACGCAATCAGAACGTGGGAGTAACCGAACTATCTTTTGCTGCATTGGGTGAGTATTTTGATGTTCTGCATTCATTTTTTTAATTTTTTTTTTTTTTTTTTGCATTTCCTTTTTCTGTTTTTATGGTTTCTTTTTTGGTTCAGTTAGTTTGATAATAGAGAAGTATAAACTGTTTCTAGGATGTGTCTCCTTTATCATTTGTGGACAGTAATGATGTTAGTTAAAAGGGTATCTGGTTTTTGTTGCAGGAATACTTATCCAATTAGCCTTTTTCCACCATAATCTTGCACTAAATGGAACAGTCGAATAAGGCTGCAGAATGTGATGCCAAAGAGGTTGGATTTTCAAACCCAAGCAGTGTATGATTATGTCTTTGTTTCTGAAGCTCATTTTATGCATGTCTACAGTATTTACATATCTTGCCCCTTTGTTCGAATCTTCTATCCTTTGTTGTTGTGGATCACAATTGCTATTGATCTTATTATCGTTATTTTTTTATTTTGAAAAAATTGTTGTCATATTCTTGTGTTACTGTATCCTTTGTTTCTCTATTCTTGTTCTGCTTACAACATTGCTTTTTGGCTGGCAGGAGCTCTTGTTGTTTAACACATGTAGTTTAGTGAGCAGCTAATTTCTGCTGCTCAAAAGGATGATGTTAATTTTTTAATTCACTCATATCTTAAACCCTTAATATTTTTTTCTAGTGCTATATGGGTTCTTTCTTTCATGGGGTTTGGAAAGATTAGAAATTTCCATGTAGGTGGTGGGGAATAGTACTGCCTTTGTTTAGTTTTTTGGGATAGCCTACATGTGTTATTAGTCTCGTCAATGGTCATCTCTTTCTCTCACTCACTTTTCTTTTCTTTTTTAGTTCAAGTTTATTATTTGGTGTCATGTTTTTTGTGACTAAAGGATTCTGGTTCAAACTTCAGCCTATATTGGTGAATGTTATGTTTGACCTCAATCACTCTAGGCTTTTATGGAAATTCTTTCTTATCCGAAGTGATTGGGGTAGCAACTAGCAACTATTAAATTAATTTAAAAAATTTGCATTACATACCTCCCACATGGACGAAAACTAGTACGTAATACCTTCTCAATGTTTGTTGAATTTTCCAAAGGTTGATTTTTCAATCAATGGGGAAGTATCCAATGTCATAGTTGCTCCTTTGTGAACATAGATAAGTTGCCTTTGATTCTTCCAGAATCCCTTTTTGATACTTATGACTCTCATAACAAAAGTGATTGCAACAGACAGTAAGTAATGTATGCTGTTGTCTGGGATGGATAGTTATTCCCTTTCAATCCAAGTTTAGTTCATGTATAGAATTGTAAGTGCTTGCTTCCCATGACTACTAGAAGTATACAGCCGTGCAGTAGTTGGATGGTGGTGATTTTCGAGATGGTAAATTGCAAGTGCTCATTTGTATCCTCCCTTGTGTTTGCTTCCCATTCATCTTTCGAAATGGTACATTTTTAGGTGGACAAAATGTTCGGCTTTCATGGGGCAGAAGGCCTTCAAACAAACATAACATATTTACTGATTGTTGTAATTCTGAGTAGCATTAGCCTCAACGTGTTACTGATTCTGATAAATGAATTTGGTTTCCTTGGATGGTTTACAGACTCAAGCAGATCCAAATCAATGGAATGGTATTGGTGGATATTATGGATATGGGATATAGTTGAAGGAGTTCCGCCCCAAATTTTCCGTTTTCTTTTGTAATCTTATGATACTTATTTTCTGTTGCTTCTCTTTTCGTGTCTCGTGGAAAAGCTCTCATTGCTCCTTCCTTCTTTTGTATCAATAGGCTTTGTTTGGGAGTTGATTTTAGGAGGGGAAGAAAATGAAATGGAGGATTTTAACAAGCACTTTCCTTGTTTGTGAGTTTAAAAAAATGAGGAGAGGAGAAATTGAAGATTTTTACTAAATCCTCCAAAATTCTCATTCTTCTTAAAATTAAAATCCCCCCAATTTGGGAGGTTTAAGGGAGAAAATATTAAAAATTATTTATCTACCCATAGCATTAAAATGTAAAAACTACATAAATATGAATCATTTTTAAATGTGACATTATTAGAAAAGTCTTAAATACCGACAAGATTTATTCACGAAAAATATTTCGTAAAAAAATAGTGATAAATTTTTTGATGAAAACCATATACGTCAAAAAATATCTATCAAAACTAAAGATTAAACTAGATTTTGTCATAATCACTGACATAAATTTTTTACGGAAAAAAAATTCAATCAAAATTAATGATAAAATCTAAATTCTGTCGAAATTTTTAATGAAAATATTTCAGTCCACAATTTTAATGAAATAAAATAATTACGTCAAATTTTTTTAAGGAAAACATTTCCATCAAAATTTTCACGAAAAATATTTCCATCAAAATTTGTGACTAAAAACATTTTAGTAAAAAATTTTGACGGAAATTTTTTTTTGTCAAAATTTTATACGGAATCTAAATTTTGTCAAAATATTTCCCTCAAAATATTTAACAAAAGAATATGTTCATCGAAATTTTTAACGAAAAATATTTCCATCAAAATTTTCGACGAAACACATTTCCATCGAAATTTTTTGACGGACAAAAATTTCATTAAAATGCTTTACAGAATTCAAATTCCGTCGAAAGTTTTCGACGAAAATATTTTTGTTAAACTTTTTGACAAAAAAAATTTGCATCAAAATTTTTAACGAAACACATTTCCATAGAAAATTTTCGACGAAAAATATTTCCGTCAAGTTTATTTGATAAAAAACATTTTCATCAAAATTTTCAACGGAACACATTTTTGTCAAAAAATTTCGATAGAAGATATTTTCGTAAAAAATTTCGATAAAAAAATTTGGCGAAAAAATATTGTGTCAAAATTCTTTACAAAATCTAAGTTTCGTTACAAGTTTTGAATGAAACACTTTCCTCAGAATTTTTGACAAAATAATTTTCGTCGAATTTTTCTTCAGAACACATTTTCATCGAAATTTGGAACAGAGAACATTCCGTCAAAACATTTGACGGAATGTTTTCGTTTAAAACATTTGATGGAGGAAATCATTTTCGTCAAAACTTTTGACGGAAACTAAAGTTCGTCTAAATTTCGATAGAAAATTTATTTTTGTAAAAATTTTCGTCGGTGAAAAAATTCCATCGCTTTTCGATGAAAAATATTCTGATGAAAAAATAATTTTGTGACAAAATTTTCGTTGTTTGCAATGTAGAAATTTCATCGAAAATATGATCTTTTTTAGTATTGTGAAAAATATATAAATAATTTTATTAGAAATTTTAAATTTTATTTAATTTGTAAAATATAATAATTATATTAATTTTAAAAAAAAAGGTAAAATGATAAAAATATCTCATTAATCCTCTATTTTTCTTTCTCACCATTTTTTTAACTACTAAACAAGAGAAGGAAATAATACCCTTCAATTTCCTTTTCTTCCTCTCTCTCCCTTGGATCAGCATCTTTCCCCTCCAAACTCCCAATCAAAGCCATAAAGAATTGCTTTGCTGAAATACTTATTTGATGTCTATGTTTGATGAATTGGCCCACATTCGCTATCTTTGATGTCTATGTGACATTTTTTTCCGGATGCAACCATTGATTGATTCACAAAACTGAATTTGAGATATTTGGGGGAAAGAATTTTTATGCTACCAAAACTGTAAAAGATGCTTATTCCCTTAACAAGGATGATTACAATTTTTATGTATCCAAAACGTGATAATTCGATATTCAAGTTTTCTATAATAACAATAACTTATTAGCAAGGATCATCTTCTATATTCAAATTAAACATAACCAATGATCTCTACACTGTCATGACATCATCTTCTATATTCAAATTAAACATAACCAAGGATCAAATATTATGATTGACATATTTTGTACCTTCAACTCTTACACAGATTGTACATATGTCTTTGATGGGTAATAGCCATTTCTATATTCAAATTAAACATAACCAAAGCATCATATGATTTCTATTTACAAAACATAGGATTCAGTCATGGCTTCAACATGTCAAAGCCCCCTGTCCACACTGCCAAAATGAATTGATCACAACTTGGAGGTAAGACATTATATAATAATGTGCTCCTTTGCAATGTGATCCCCTCTAGCATATACAACACAGGTTACCTAAACAAGTTAGAAGGAAATTAATTATTGTAAGTAACAAAAAAACAAACCATTGTGATATAGTTCATATACCACTACGCATAAAGAGCAGCTACAAACCAAGACAAACCGCATTGCTCAATGAAATGGTTGGCTGCTCAATTGAAGAACATTACATATACCTCTATTCTGATCTGCAGTGACAAGTGGTTCTTTTTCCGGATCTGCAGTTGACACAAAAATATCTATTCCTGGAAGATCAGACTAGCCAGCAGGATTGGAGGGATTAGGAGTTTCAAACTTCTCTTTCAAAACATCAAGATCAACAACACGATTTATGGGGAAGAGCTTTGGAAGCTGGTCAAGCACCCAAGAATTTTTCATTTTGGTATCTAATTTTGTTTTATTTTTATTTGTATTTGAACACTATTTCTAAAAATGATAAAATTGCAAACATTTTTAATTTACAACTACAATTGCGTTCAAATATTCATGAACTTCTCACCTTACAATTATATTGATTTCCCCAAAATGTCATTATTTTTTTTATTTAAACATAATATAAAATAAATTATAAATATTTCTTACATCATATATAATTGGTTTGAAACATTTTTTATTATTTTAATCAGAATTAGTGTAATAGATACATAAGTTTTGCAATATTTGATTGATTACAATTTTGTATATGGAAAAAGTATTTCTCTCATTATTTGAGAAAAAATTTATCTCCAGCTCAAATAATGTCATTTTGAGTATGGAATTTTTTAATTGATTTTAGGCAAATCTGCCCGCGAAGCTCTTATTTAAGATACCTCCCTATTGTTCGTGCTCCTCACCGTATGACTTCTCGAGTATAAGATTAAAAAATTATAATTATAAAGACTAATATAACTCTGCAATATATTGAAATTATAAAAACACCTAGATTTCTGTTTCAAAACGACGTCGTTTTGGGTTATACCAGATAAATCCTTTACCCTTTGTATATTCCATTTACTATAAAAGTTCCTCAGGAATTCATTAGAGGAGTGTTTTCAATAAAAATAGTTTGTTCTTGGATCACTTCGAACTTGAGGCGAATAACTGATGAAAAGTATCACCACGACATGTAAATTTTACCATTTCATGCATTTTTCTCAGCAACTACTGGTCTATATGTGAAAATTCATCGATGTGATTTAAATGTCGAACGTCCAATGGTATATTTATTTTGAAAGCAAACCTACAAATTATTCTGGTTCTGAAGGGATAAACAAGTTGAAAATGTGTGGCAAAGCAATTATATGGATGAAAATAGTTATATAACGACTTGCTGAATTGAATAGAACTAATTAACTATTTTACTTTGTTATTTACTCTCTAACTATAATTATCATTCGTATTGCCATGGCTCGTGCTTCCTCCAAGGTATATACACCCTTTAAAATGAATGCAGCACATAAATTTGAAGAAAAAACTTTTAACATGTGATGGAGTCGGTTGAACCTGTGGCTAATGGGTACTTGAACATGACCTTATCAGAAAAGGAAATTTTGATGCAGAAAGATCCTCTTCCTCCAATTGAAGAGGTCTGATTGGAGTTTCAAATTGAAATTTCTCCTTTAACATTTTTTGAAAATAATAGAAAGAATAGATCCTCAACTTGTTTAAGGTCCGTACATTGGGAAGTTGAATTTTGTCCTGAATCCTGATGCTGTTAAGCAATATTCACTTGCTTCTAAGAAAACAGCGACTACGAAACTTTGGATTGAAAAAGTACAAAAACATCTTGCATATTTTGGATGGAAAATTGAGCGGACAGAATCTAAATTTGGTGATAATAAATTTCTGAATATTTATTTCATGTTGCTATAAAAAAAAAAAAAAAATTATTTTCGCCCCCAATTAAGAATCCTGACTTCATCTCTGTGCACATAGACATCATAGAAAGCACGAAAAGAGAGAGAAGAAAAAATAATAAAGACAAACTAGAAACCTATTCAACCAACACCGCCATAATAATTAAGCACATCCTACCCAAAACAAATTTCATCTTATAGTTTTTTTGACACAGATATAATCAAATGAAATAGTAACAAGTAACGACGGATAGAGAAGAAAACCAATCTAGGAAATAGAGAACCTTCTTCTTCTGGGCTTGGTCAAGTCCATAGGCCCATCGTCAATATGGGACGTGTCCTTGGACCCATGCTTGAACGGGTTCAACTTGTTCAGTTTCTTGGACACTGACGATAAGAACGTGGGCTTTTTGGCGGACACCGACCCTTCCTTCATAGACGACGTCGTTCCATTAACGTTATTCTGCAAATCAGAAATGTACATCTTCATCTTCATCAGCTCCGTCCGCAACTCCTCATTCTCCCTCACCAAAGACACGTCCGTCTGCAGCTGATTCCCCGCCGCCGCAGCGTCCCGATCCTCCGCCGTCCCACTTCTAAGCTTTAACTGATCGTAGTACAGCGCGTGAAGCACGATCTGCACGGGCAATCGCTTGTTCTGCGACGCGTGCACACGCGCCTCGTAAGACAGTTTTAGCGGGTCCATCACACTGCACACCTTCTCCTTCTGTATCTCATCCAGGTTCGGGTGCACCTGCAAAAACACGCGGGCGCGCGGGGGATTATGAGATTAGTTACTAGTTACTTAAGTTTAAACGGTGTCGTTTCATCTATTCCTCCTGTTTGGGAACGGGATTATGTTATTACGTACCTTGAGGTAGATATCCACGGCGCGGTATAGATCGTCATCGAGTTTTCGTGCGCTTTTGGGGATGAGGATAGCGATGCCGTTGAACTTGGAGATGGTTAGTTCGCTGTACGCGGCGATCTCGCCGAGGTATGCATCGACGGTTTTAGCCACGCGCTGCATCGTGGCGGAGCAGACATCCCTGACGTTGCTGCCTGCGTTTAACACCGACGTGCTCTTCTCCTTCTCCACGAAGCCGGAGATGATCCTCCGTACGCTGTCCAGATCTAAGAGCCTCTCTCCGTCGTACGTAAACGTAAGAACCAGTAGGTCGTCCACCGTCACGTGCTCCAGGATCTCCGTGATCCGCTTCTCGAGCTCGCGCTTGCACCCGCTCGAGGTGTGGAGGTGGATCGCGCACCGGAGAAGGCAGCAGAGGAAGTTGATCGGAAATGCCGCTTTCTCGGATGGGAAGAGATGGACGATGGACTGCAGAAGCTCGCGTTGTTCAATTCTTGATTCCGAATCGAAATCGCCGGTGTCTGATGACAGGATTCCTCCGCCGCCGCCGGTTTGGTCCCGGACTAATTCCCGGAGCGCGCGTTCTGTGTACGTCATTAACGCTCCTGCCAAGGTTAGGTACTTGGCGCCGCGCTGCTTCATGGCGGAGATCACTTGCCCGAAGGAATCGACGTCGAGGACGGCAAGCTCCTCCGTCCACCAGTTCGGTGGTGAACGGCTGGGAAAGTTGGACTCGCTGCAAACCTTGTTACTGACGGCTTCGACGCAGCGGTTAACGATGCTGAGGTTGTCGACAAAAGGGTGAAGATGCCGGCAGGACTTGAGGACGACGACGGCGCCGGGGAGGCTAGAGAGGGCGACCTGAGAGAGGAAGTCTTCCGTTCTTCCGGCGAGGTTGCCATCGCAGTACTCGTCGGTCATCTGGAGGAACACGGCGGCGCAGTGCAACGCAGCGACGTTGTGGACGGTGATCTCGAAGTTAACGCCGTAGCAGAACTTGGCTGCTTTCTCGAAAGCTTCTAGACTTCCGGGTATGTCCGAGAGGTCTATTCTGGTGAGGTCGCTCTCTCCTGATTCCACTATCAGCTTTCTGATGTAGTTGCTCTTTGCCACCAGCATGAACTGTAAACATTTCCAATAGTTAAATTTGAACCCTTTTCACATGCACAAAATCACAGAGATAATACAATTGGCATGCAATGCATTGTTTTGCTACCTTGTGGAGAGAAAAATGGGCTTCTCCAACTTCAACTATAACATCGCTTGGAATTTCTTGAGAGAAAACCCTGCAATAATGCAAGTCATATTAGGAGAACAATTAATTAAAGCATGGGTTTGTAAAATGGAGGAAGGGAATGAGGTGCTGTTTACCATTGCCCTGTTCTCTCCATGGCAAGTGAGAGTCTGGTGGGGCTGGGAGCCGCCATGAGCTGCTGTGCTTGGTTTTCTTTTGGTCTTGAATTGAATTGTTTTGTGGTTTGAGAGAAATAGTGGTTTACATTTTAAATGGTGATGGTCGATTGTTATAAGGAAATTTTGAACCCTGTAGCTTCACTTCCTTGTCATGATTTTATCTTCATGAGTTGTGAGTTTATCCCTGCGGTCACTGTCTATCATTTGCTTTTCTATCAATTATTGTTATTTTACTTATTTTATCTTTTTCAGTTAAAGTGATTCCTTTTGAAGATAATATATCCTACGTCATTTTCCCTGCCCTAGTTTGCTAGCTGCTTCCAGTCCAGTTCACACAAGTGGGAAGTTTGAATTCAACAATGACATTTCTTATTGGCTCCACTGGGTCTTGTTAGTTGTTACCGACACGAGCTCCATCTGCTATTGTTTCTTTCTCTCTCTCTTTTTTTTTTTTTATGCATATTGTTTCTTTCTCTTTAACTGAGGTTTATCTTACCTGTTTCCCTTGCTTCAATCTTCATTTTCTATTTTTTAACTTTACATAATTGATATATATATATATATATATATATATATATATAGGGCTTAACATTTCTGCAGCAGCCGTAAATAGTGTTATCTACCGCTGACACAGAAAAGTGGGCCCCACGGCTTTAAAAAAAAAAAAACTCAGGATCCGTTGTCGTATCCTAGGATTCGGACGTGTATCCTTGCTTGCTGTATGTACAGCAGCTGCAGAAATCATTTTGCCATATATATATATATATATATATTGAGAATAATGATTCAAGATTTGACAATGATTGTATAGGTTTTCTTACGAATTATATGTGTAACTTTTCTTCAAATAATTTGCATATTGGAGTTTGGAAATGATCCAGTTTGTTCAATTTTGCATGCCTGAATTAGAGTACAAGGAGAGGTCATTGATTAAAAAAAATTAAATTTAATTAATTAAAATAACTAAAGATTTCGTTTACCAATATTGAAGTTCCAAATTGAATAAAAAAGTTGTTTACCGTTGAACGTTTGTGTTTGTCAATAGGTCAATGATATTCATTTTAAGGCTAACAATTCGGGTGAGGCCTCACAGCTTTGCACCTCACGAAGAAAAAAAGGGATAGAAAAAGACAGTTGTTCCTTTCCTTCGTCACGAGAAAAAAAATTACTAAAAAGTCACTTGGAAATTCCAAGAGTATTGTAAAGGGAAACCAGTTGCTTTTAATCAGAAGTTTTCCGTAGAAAACATGTTATTGTTACATTATTCAACTAATATAAATATTACATTTTGTAACATCTAAATTGATATTTCCCTCCTAAGGGGGATGAAAATCCTAGAGATGTATAACATGCACGGGAGTAACAGTTTAGCCTGTTGTTTCAGTAACTGTTTATACTTTATATTGCAGGCAGGGAAAAAAAAAAAAAAAACCTTGCATACTTATCATCTATGAAGCACCGACACTTCTAAAACCTTGACGTGTCGTGTCCGACACTTCCCGACACTCTCCGACACTCCGACACTTCCCGACACTCCAACACGCGTTATAGAAATTCAAAAAAAGGTTCAAAGGTTACGTTGCGTTGAGTTTTTAATTCCAACTATTAGATTCGTTGGATTACGATTACCATTATATTGAATTTAATATAAATATTTGGGAAATCTTATGTTTTTTTGCAAAATTGATGAATATTATAAATTTAGTTTTGTTTTTTATTAAATTATTGAATATTTAATATAATATACACTACATAAATTAAAAATATTATTTAATATCAAAACGTGTCCTAATGTGTCGAAATCTAATATTTTTTAGAATTAACGTGTCGGAGTGTCGTGTCGTATCGTGTCACGTGTCCCGTGTCAGTATCGGTGCTACATAGCTTATCATATTTTGGGAGGTCATTTATTCATTAACTCCCAGCGACAACATCATCCATTTACGTTTTTACCATCTCCATCTTCTCGTTTTAATATTGTCGTTAGTACTCTGTTATTATGCTACATTATCATTTTATTTTCAATAACCTGGTATGATTTTGAGGTTGTATTTAACTCAGAAGATATTAAAATCCGTTAAAAAAAATTAATATTTTTTATATTATAGAAAATAATTTTATTTCCTATATATATATATAAAAATATGTGAGACTCATGTTAGGTCACGTAAAAAAAATAAAAAAAAATATGGATCTCATATATTTTCAGATAATTTTATCTCTTATAATATAAGAAACATTAAAAAAAAAAACATTGAGGGAGATAAATGATATCAAAAGATGAGTTCACTTTAACCTTGTGTCGTCATAGTCATGGACTCATCGGTCAAATGTAACGTGCCTTTTAACTGTAAATATGTTCCCTCGTATATATAAAAAATGATACGAAGAATTGAAGAAAAGATGCATTCAAAAAGCCACAAGATGTAGGTCGGTAAGGAGGAACTTAGTTTACAATATATCATAGGTTTAAATTTTAATGTCACAATTGCAAAACGAAAAAATTGCGTACCAATTCTTGAGCCACGGTATATATATAAACTGCGAATATTCATGCACTTAATGTCTTAAGATTTTAAGTTTGATTGTAGTATTCCGAACCCACTTAATGTTACTGTCCATTTGGCCCATGATTAGTGATATCTTCCCTCTATGAGCTTCCCATGCACTGCCCAACAATTGGTATCAAAGTCCAGGTTCAATGGGTTCGGAAGGAGACAAGATTAAGACTGGTGGCATAACTCATGATAGAGATATGTTCAAGCTGACTGCGGACAATTTCACTTATTAGAAGTCGATAATGGAAGATCATCTCTACTGCAAAGATTTATATGAGCCCATTATCCTCGATGAGAGACCGGCAAGCAAAACCGACAAGGAGTGGGAGATCCTGAGTCGTAAGGCGGTAGCTACAATCAGAAAATACATAGACAAAAGCCTCTTTGAGCACGTGTCCGAGTTCATGAACGCGTACTAATTGTGGAACAAATTGGAGTCCATGATTCAAAAGAAGACTCCCAGGAACAAAGCACACCTGGTTCGTTGACTTGTGAAGCTGGAATACAAAGACGACATGAGCATAATTGAACACCTAACACCTACAAAGGGATTGTGAATCAGCTGTCAAAAGTCGAGATGAGAATTGATGACGAGATGCAGGCTTTGCTGTTGTTGAGCTAGCTGTCAGAAAGCTAGGATACTCTAGTGGTGACTTTGAGTAATTCGGCTCTAGAAGGAAAATTGAAGATGGATGTCGTAACAGATAGTCTCCTGAAAGAAGAAGTCAGGAGAAGAGAACAAGATGTTTCCAGCACATCTGAGGCCAACGTTGCTAAGAACAGAGGGAAATTCGACTTCCGGGGTAGAAGTAAGAGCCGGGGTCGATATCGTGACAGACGAGAAAAGTCTAGAGGCTGATCAAAGCCGAAATACGAGTTGAAGTGCTTCTACTGTGGGAAGCCAGGGCATAAGAAGGTAGACCGCAGGACTCTGCAGAATGGAGAGCAGAATGGTTCTGTGAAGCCGGATCAGATTATTCTCAAGAAGATGGAAGAAAAGAGAACCACGACTGTGGTTACAAATGCTAATGTCGATATATTCTTACTTGGTGAAGAAATTTTGAACGTCGCATATGACGACTGCACCTGGATTGTTGATTCTAGTGTCTCTTTCCACGTCACCCCACATAAGGGATTCTTTTCAGCTTACAGAAGTGGAGATTTCAGGGTCGTGAAAATGAGAAATCAGGTGACTAGCAAGATTGTTGGTGTCGGTGATATAACCTTGACCTCGGATATAGTGTGTCGACTTATTTTTAAGTATGTAAGACATGCACCTGACATGTATTTAAACCTAATCTCGGTTGGCAAGCTAGATGTTGTCGGGTTAGTGAACTACTTTGGAGGAAGTAGATGGAAGCTGGTCAAGGGAAAATTGGTCATGGCTCGAGGTATGAAGGAAGGTTCCTTGTATGTGATGCAAGGAAAGATAAATGGTGGAGAAGCCAATTTTGTTCGAGATGAACATAGCTTGGATCTGTGGCACAAGCGCCTCGTCCATATGAGTGAGAAAGGGCTCCAAATCCTGAACAAGAAAGGATTATTGACCGGGTTGAAAGGGTAAGCGTTGGAGAGTTGCACGCACTACCTAGCTAGAAAGTAGCACCAGTTTCTTTTGTAAGACCAGATCAACCCAGACGACACAGGTATATTCTTGACCTTGTCCATACTGATGTCTGCTCCATGTCAGAGAGTTCTCTTGGAGGAGCTCAGTATTTTGTTTCATTCATTGAAGACCATTCCTGCAAAGTGTGGGTTTATTTGTTGAAGTCTAAAGACTAGGTACTCCAATCCTTCAAAGAGTTCCATGCTATGGTGGATAGGGAGATTGGCAAAAAATTGAAGATAGTCCGATCTAACAATGGTGGTGAGTATTGTGGCCGTTTTGATGCATATTGCGTTATGGATCAAGTTCAACTTGAGCCATGATGACACCTACCCTCTCTTGACCCAATATGTGGGCTTTACTAACTTAGGCTCATTTTTCCTTATTGGGCCCAAACCACATGTTAGAATTCAAGACAACTTAAGGTGTTTGTGTGCGACCCATCAGACCCACTGACATAAATGGCTTGGACCCATTAGGCCTAATCCATCTAATGATAACACAGAGCACTAGCAATGCTTTGTTGTCCTAGAGCTAGTTGAGTTTATAGAATAATCAATCTGTTATACTCATTTGGTTACTGTGTGAATTGTCCTTTCATCTTGTTATCCGTCCCATTGACCTAGTTCAAGGAAAAAGTATCAACTCCTGCGGTCTAGGGTTAGCTTTTACTGAAACAGAGAATCTTCATTTACAGACTCTAAAGAGCGGGTCATCTCATGACTCCTTTACTATGCATAGATTCTCGAGTTTCGTAAATGTCATCCTGGTTTCACCGGTTTATGGATAACCTAATCTCTCAAAGAGATTGACGAATTTCTTCAGTTTGTCACACTAGCCCTGAGTCGTTAGGGCATGCCCAAGAGTATACTTACGAGTCTCCATGTTTCAGGCAAACAAGGTATACAATCAAAGCAAGCGTTCCAGAGCACAAGTCTATATGACAACGTCAGGTCTAAGGAAAGACACACCCAAATAATAATAAACATTACCTATTGATACTATCTGTGAGATTTCCTTGTAGTGTCTTTTTTTGGGTCAATTTAGTGCGAGCTATTCTTCAATAGGTCCACCCACGAGTCAGTTAAGACATCTCTATGTCTGTAGACGAGGACTCTACCTTGCATCTCCATGCAAGTAGCTGAGTCGTGTTAGTCTTACCCGAGATCACCAATGCCCATTATCGGTATCTCTGGACTAGGAACATATTTCTGGCAATGGACGTGTGGTGTCATTAAGCCCTCATAATTGTGATCCCTATCACAGATCCTCAATATGACACTCGTTCCATTCCAAGGGCTTTATCCAGTTACTCATATTCAATATTTGAGACATG